CCAAACAGCATCACTTCCTAGTATTCTGGTGATGGCTTCACCAATTGGCTGTTGTAGGTTTTGTACCTTCTTTGTCCCACCAGCTACTTGACAATCATTTGCCTTCTTCAGGCTTCGAAGTCTAAAATAAGATTTTGTGTGAGTACACAAGTCATTGAAACATACAGAAAAAAGTAATTAAGTTAAATAGCAGATGACAATTTTGATTCTGTATACTTTGGGAAGGCACTTAACTGCATAAAATGATAAAAATGAATGAACAATTATTTGCATTTTAAAATAAGAAGAATATTTTGTGTATATTTTTGCTTTAAAATACTTTTCATGGAGCTGGTAATTTAAAATTTAATCACACTTACGGTCTCTTTGTGCTAAGCATGCACTCAATAAATTGCTTTATTGAGCAGTTTTCCATCAAGTTGACATCACATCTAAGTCGCCTTTGTGCATGCAACATCCAGATCAGCTGTTAAAAAAAAAGCAAGAAAGTAAATAACTACAATCATACAAAGATGTATATGTTGAGCACTCCCTACTGTACAAAATAACAGATTAAATACCTGACGACAAACATTTCCTGTTCCATGTGCAAAATCCATCAGGGTCCCATTCATATCCTCAAACCCAAAGGTGGACCAGGCCCATAGTGGTCCCCATCCCTCTGCATAGTCAGCAAGATGCTGGCCAGCATTATGCACATTTAAGCCACAAGTACCTTCACCAGTAACATATTTTTTTTCAACAATCATGAATTGTATAAATGGGTACTGTTACATGTTGCAACTTAAATTTATATCCAGAGTTCATACAAATTTAACCTATTGTCATCACTCTGACAGATGTTTCTAGAATCATGGAATGTTAATTTGTTTATGCAGGAGTCAGTCAAATGTTTTGTTCAAATACGTGTTCAGTGAAGAAATAGAGAGCCATACAGGTTGAACTAAACTTGGCAATCAAATTCTAGGGTTTTTATGCCCAATGGAGTCTTTTTTTGCAAAATATCACAATACATTTATGGTTAATGATCACTGCTGTATTCAAGCTGCTTTGCATTATGTCCTTTAACTGTAAAATTAATGTTAGTGTGAAGTAAAACAAATTACCATACAGCTCTGCAAAGTCTTTATAAAACCTCAGAAGTAGATCTCGTGCTCTGCTAAGCTGATTTGGTGTGATAGAATCACCAAGTACT